TCAAGGAAATAAAGTTGACAAAATTGATCAGCAAAGATGATTATGTCAATAAAGTTACCCATTATACTAGAAATAAATTGACATCTGGATCTACAATGTTTCACATTGATTATCTCAGAACATAAAGTTGACATCAGGATCGACAAGATGATAAATAAGGACATTTAATTGACATTGGATTTGTAATCAGATTTTAGCCAAAATTTTACACTGTTACAACATTAATTATACCAGTGGCCTTTATGAGTTTGCTGATTTCAATTTGATCATATTTTCGCTTATGGTAAAAATTATCAAAAATCTCGAAAGAATATGATAGTCACGCTTACAGAATTGTCAACTCGTGGGGACTTTAGAACCACAGTAAAATATTTAGTACAATTGCCTAAAACTCAAGCTTTGAAGAAAACAGTTTTACAACACGATGATTGGACACATTAATATCTGATGAAATCTAACAACCATAAAATATTGGCTATGATATACGGTACAGTGATACATCAGTCATAGAATCTATAATGGAATATAAATGTTTCTTGGAGAAAAAACAAATCCTTAGCAGAGATATATTGCGTACCGTCTTCATCATCAATTTCATTTATGAAGGTGTTCATTATAAATTTACTGCTACTAAATAAACTCTATATTCTTTCACTCTTTACTTGAACGGATCAAGAGTTCAAGTTTCTGTTCGTGCTCTTACCGATAGTGTATTATTAGTTTTGTTAGTCAGAAAAAGCCATACTTGTCATTTTCGTGAAGAAGTTCAAGAAATAAAATTATTGATTAATAGTTAAACTTATTTACTTGTTTGCTTGAACAAGAAAATGATCCAACACAACTTCATTTACTCCTCCTGGAAAGCTTGTGAGATTTTTGGTAGAGTCTGCGATCATGTAAAAAAGGTGACTCTTAAAAGATTATTATTCGTAAAAGAATCATTTTAAGTCTTATTTTTTTATATCATTTAAATCATTGATTATTATTTAGGTGATCAAAATATACATGCTGCTTATCGTAACAGATGGTGTTATTGTTCAATTTATAAAACAATAAAATTTTACGCTCGAATCCAAAGACATTATTGGAATTCTCACTCTTAATGACCTAGTTGAGTTTGTCACACATTACTTTTTTAGGAATAACTTCCTGTAATGAATCCGTCTGTTTTAATCAGTGCCAAAACTTATCAAAGATATTGAGAGGCCAAGCATATCCTTAAATGTATATTGAATAATTATGATAATCAATCAATATTACAGAGTAGCGTCAAAGAATTAATTGAACTTTTAGAAAATTTTGATCTTGAATCTCATGCAATATTTTCAGCACTCTCCGGAAGAATCCTGAACAAACTTGAAGCAGCTTTATTGAGGATTTCTAATGAGACACATAGTCAAGGATAAGAATTTCCTGCTAAATGATTAAAATAAATGATTGATAATTATTCTTTCAATTTTGTCAAACCTTCAGACCTTTCGAGTTTAAATCTGTGATTACTCCTGTGAATGATATTCTTGAACGATATATTTGTTCTAAAGCACCTAAAGTGGAATGATATTCTTATTTGTTAAGAAAGTATCATGATGATGTTTTATTCTCGAATTTTATTAAATGTAAAGAAGAAGCTGTCTATGTTTTACATGACGAATACAAGAATAATCTAGACAAGATCGTCTCTATTATTTTACCACATTCCAAAGTTGAGTCAAAGAATAATCTAATATTACATATTTTAGATCAAATTAGGCCCACAAATGTTGAACAAGCCCTTGACAAATCTATTCACCGATTTTAGATAAATTAGCAGAACTTAGAAGACATTTCACGACCAAAGTTGCATTGAAGATGTGTGAATTATTGATTTATTGTCATTTACCTTCTTATAAAGAAAGTATTGAAGGCTGCAGATATAGAAAGTTATTATGGAAATGATGATTATAATTACTGAACCACAAAATATGATTCTCTCAAAGAATTAATTGATACTTGATTTGCTATTTTTGATGTTCTTCCGAATTTCTTTATCAACAAGATATTGGATTGGGCTTGCCATATTAGAAGTTTACGTCCGATGCGCTTATCATACCTATCAACTTATAAACATTTAATACTAAGCCCCATTTATGGTCTCTTTGAACTTCTCACTTCATAGTTTATGACTGATAGTCCAACTGGTTCGCTTCGGAGCCCCTCGTTTTTTAGTACGAGACGTTCAGCTTCAATATCAGATTAAGTTATTTGATTCTGAAAACTGAAAATGAGCCACCTCATATCAGGCGTCATAGTTTCAATGAAGAAATAGAAAGAAATATACCACAAATTTAAAACTTTTTCCAAAAATACAAAATGTTTAAGGATGGAAATCTCAGGATCAATCAGATAGAAACAATATAAATAATGTTTTAAACATCGCTTTAAGGCTGGAAGATAATGTTATAGATGATAAAGCTTTAAAAAACAACTCAATCCCCTTATACAATAACATTCGTATGAATTACAAAAACATAAAATATGAAGAATTACTATTGTTTTATTTTATAAAGGTTAACATCTGGATATTTCATGTTTCGTGAAATAACAGATATACTGAGGATCAAACAATTCATCATATCGAACCAATCATGACCTATCAGTATGAGCTTACAAGGTAATCCAATTTCGATATTACTTCTTGCTTACTGACAATCAAACAGATTCACGTTTATTATGCCGTTGAAAAAAAAAATACTTCAAATTGTAGTTCTTTATTCAATTCTTAATCATCCTAATCAGTTGCAAAATAGCATGCGTATGGCAGATTATCTAATCTCAGAATCTGACAGATTATTAAATGAGATTTTGAATTCTCTTAAGATCGTTAGTTCAAAACATAAGAATTCTGACTGCAATCATTTATTTATAAATTTCATTGCAACATCTGTATTAGAACCAAAACAAGTTAAGGAAGCTGTTTAAAGGATTTATTGATAGGCACAGCAAAAGATTGTGGAGATTGTATCTGACCAGAGCTGAAGTTTGTTTCAAAGCTGAAGACCTTACATTAGAAACAAGTTATCTTTTACGTGTTATTATTAATAATGTCTCTGGGTATGTTGTTAAAGTAGAAAACTTATCAGAAGATACAAAATTTGAAAGCTGGATTATTAAATAAATTGGTTAACAGGATTTAATGCATTTATAACTAACCCACACACCTTAACTAACAAATAAATAGCTTCAACTAAGGCGTTATAAGACTTATTGTATGGGTATCACCTACGATTATGATTTTCCTGAATTATTTTGCCAAGCTATTAGAATACGATGGAATGTGCATCTCATAATAGTTTAATAATCATTTACAAAAAATGGAGAGAGTTTCAGAAACGAATTCATTTGGTATAATTGCATAGATTTTTACACTTTTTATCCAGAATTTCCCAAAGGTAAAAAGTTGTAATTGCAAATGATATCACATATTACATTGGATCTTTTGGTTCTTTAGAAGATCAATTTTTCTACAAAGTAACTAAATTGGTAAGACCATTGGAATACTTAGACAGCAAATTCTGTTGCAAGAATTGGATTGGCAGAAGAAGTTATAAATCATTTTACATTGCATGGATTGATAAAAGAAATCCAAGTAAAGGTATAAAATATCTTTATTTTGATTCAGAGACATATAAGCAATTACATCAAAATAAAAGGAAATACGTTATCGCAGAAAGAAAAGAGTAACACAGCATAAAATTATTAATATTATTAGATCAAAAATAAGTTTGGTATTGAATGTTTAAAGGGTTCAGGATTAATCACTCAGATAGCATCACGAGCATATGAAGACATTTTCACAATAATGTTAGTTACTTGTCATTCAGTTGGTATGTATTTATTGCAAGTCAATTTTTAAAAAAAAATTTTTTTTCTTTAAACTTATTATTTTTATTAAGGTATTGTAGCTAACTAAGTAAGATTGGGACAGCATATTATTCAAAATGAGGTCAACCTATAATATTAAAAGAGCATCAGCATTGAATAAAGTGTTGGGAAGAGAAGTTTATATAAGAAATCTACAACTTGGAGGCACACAAATTATGTGACTGTTCAAAATGATTTGGAGGGTATTATAAATATAATGCAATAGCTTTTTTATGTCCAGCAGTTCGAAATTCTTCTGTATCAATGTTTATGAATTCAAATACTTAGAACAAAAATGTTAATTATATGCCTTCCAAAGGACCTTAACATCCAAGTTGGTTAATTACAAGCAAATTACCCTTAATGATTTTAGCCAATTAGCATGTATTTTTAGGTGTCAAAGGGACATGTTTTAAGAGATTCTAAAATATGTATCTTTGATCATGGATACACTTACTAACTACAAGCAGTCTGTATTTGTTTATATTGTTTCAATAGAGAACTTCATAATAGTAATTGGGTTGTAATGGATCCTACTATTAACGATGATATGATGGAAATGTACGCTGATAAAAAAGCAAGAGCTGGAGTACTTGAACCTAAAGGAATTGTAGAAATCAAATTCAAAAAGCCGCAATTGCTTACAACAATAGAAAATATACCGTAATTTTAAGAAATCATTAAATGATCTATCAATATCTGAATCGCAAAAATGAGAAATTAAATTACAGTTGAATGTAAGGGAACAAGAATTATTACCGATATATTCACGAATGATACAAATTTACATGATATATCGGAAAGAATGAAATGATAAGAAAATCATTAGAATGTAAGGAATCTAGAAGATTCTTTTATTGTGTTTGAATGAAGAGTACATATTTAGAAATTTGATTAAGGCAAATTATAAATCGATTAGAAATGAAATAAATTGGTTTAAAAAGGATAATAATATTGAAAATGATAATAATAAATTCAATTGAAAAGAATCTGATAAAGAAATTGTGAAATGGTTTGAAAAACCCTTGGATGATGATAGTAATAGATTCGAATAATGATGATGATAATATTACCATAATACCAAAAATAACGATTAATGAATGACTTGAATAAATTTAGAAATAAAGCTATAGCGCAAATATTTAACAAAATAATTATAAATGAAAATTTAGTTGGGAATAGAATTCAACCATCTTTTATTAAATTACATATTAATTAACGATTTTACATGCTGATTTTCTTTTACATCAACAATTTTAATTTTTTAAAACAATAAAATGATTTGTAATTTTAAATACATTATATAAATAAATTATTTAATTTAATCATGTTGTTAGTAATAGTCTTGTTATAACGCATGATATTGCGTCTAACCTAATTGATGAATGGTAATCATGTCGATCATGATTCTCAATTTCTACTATTTCTCAGATTTCTCAGATTTCACTAATTTCTTAGCGATCTATAATTTCACATATTTCTTTATTATATTTAATTTCTTTATTTTCTTATATTTCTTATATTTCTTTAGTATCTTAAATATCTATTTCATATTGATGTATTTTATATAAATATCTTGTATTTCTGCCTCAATAAATGGCAGAGTAGTAGGGTAAATATGGGTTACTGGGATAGAATTCGAAATAGTACTCAGAAAAGATTCCTGACTGCCCACGAATCCATTTTAGCTATATGAATCAATTATCAAATTCAACTTCTAGTGCATTTTGACTCAATTCTAGATGATGTTATCGAACTTGACTAGGAATTAGCCTGTCTGATACCAAGAATTA